TATAAGAATGAGTGCTTACGGAAGCCCGAATCATTGGGCCCCTTGGCCGCGTTTCTGCGTTGCACCCTTTCTGGCCACCAGGGCACTCTGCTCGCATGAGGACCATTTTAGCGCAGGGCCCTCTGGCTGGGGCGTAGGGCCCTCGTAAGGCCCTCAGGCGCTGTTTGATCCGCTTAGGGGTCTTATAGTCCGCTTACGGCCCCCGCGTGCTCGCAGGGTTTCCGCCTATGGGCCGGGTTAGCTGGGCACTTTCGTCCTTTGAGAAGGCCCGGGAGCACAATGTCCACTTAAAAGGACTCAAGGCATGTTATCCGTTTAGAAGGACTCAGGGGCATGTTATCCGTTTAGAAGGACTCAGGGGCATGTTATCCGTTTAGAAGGACTCGGGGGCTTATAGGCATTTTGTCCGCAAAGAGAGGTTCCGGGGCATTTTGTCCACTAAGCGGGCATCTGGCTGTTGAATATGCCCTGGTCCGTGAGTTTCACTTCCTACGCCTTCACGGAATCTCCAGTCATGTTCATGTCAGGCGCAGCTCCACGGGGCTGGGTTACCGTACAGGAGGAGCCAGCATAGTACGGGCGCTTTGAAAAAAGCCGCGGATCTGCCCCGGCTCATGCTGTGCCGCCGGGCCGGCTGGGCGTGCTCACAACATCCCCCTCTTCGGGATTGCTGGAGGAGCAGTTCTTAGATGTCGTAACCTAGGCGGCTTGGTGTCCTTTGACGAGCGCTCCGTCGAAGAGTTGATGGCGGCGGAAGCTGAAATCGCACTCGACGATGAGGTGGTGGAGCCTCTCCTTCTGATGGCTAAGTAATCGTCGGTCCGTGTGATGGCGCTTGAGGGCACTGAAGTGACGGACGGAGAAAGCGCCTGTTTCTCCAGGAGACTCTGCCGCTTGGTGTCTTGGTCAGGTAATCTCTGTGGTACCCGACGCCCACGATGGTGCCTACCTTGTCACAGCGTTTACTGATCGGATCTTGCAGCCTGACCTTGAGTGGCGTCAGTGCATATGCAGAATCATTGTAGTGCTGTTGTGCACGGCGGAGAGACGCTGCTGCCCTGGAGTCAAATTCCTCTGCTTGCTCCTGCCACTCAGCAGCGAAGGTGCTGTGATGAGCGGGAACACAGGAGCTGATGGGATGGCCGAAGACCACCTGAGCCGGAGTACGTCCATCGGCTCGAGGCGTATTTCGTAGCTCCAGGGGTCCTCGGTAAAAGCCGTCGTTGTCGGTAGAACCCTCAATCACCATCATGGAGACCAGGTGCTTCATGGCCTTCACTGCCGCCTCCGCATGCCCATTGGATTGTGGGTAGTACGGGGTCGACCCGACATGCCGTACTCCCCGACGCTTCAGAAAATGGGCGACTTCATGGCTCTTGTACAAGGGTCCTCCATCTGTCCTGAGTCTGACAGGTACTCTAAGACTGACGAAGACGTCTCGGAGAGTTCTGATGATCTGACGACTCGTGCCACCCTGTGGGAGTTGATAGACAACTGGCCAGCCCGCCAGCCTATCCGCGTAGACGAAGAAGTCTCTGCCCGCGTGAAAGAAGAGGTCGGAAAAGACACCTTCAAAGATCCTCGATGGCGGCGGGTCTGTGACCATCGGTTCCTGAGGCCGACTTGGACGGGGCTCTTGGCAGGTGCTGCAGTTGCCCACAGTGTTGGCGATGTCGCTGTCCATGCCGGGCCACCAGACAGTTTGGCGTGCTCGTCGCTTGGTGCGCTCGATCCCCTGGTGAGCGTCGTAATATGCTTTCATGGTGACCTTCCGGGAACCATGCGGAATGAGGATACGGCAGCCTTTCAGAACTAGGCCGTCGTGGGACGAAAGTTTGTGGGGAACGTTCCAAAATGGGAGTAAGGAGCGTGGTAGCATCTCCTTGGAGGATGGGAAACCATGGAATACAGCCACCAGAAGTTGCTGGTAGGTTTCATCGGCTTGTGCTGCCCTCTTGAGATAATCGAGTCGTGGGTCTGGGAGATGTGCTGGCGCCTGCTGGGTTGAGACCTCACTGATGGTGACGATGGACGAGTGATGGACACGATGCTCTACAGACTGCACGAGCTGGTTGTCTTCAGGCGTCGGTTCTTCAGCAGCTGCACGTGACAGTGCGTCGGGGATGGCATGGTCTTTTGCCTTTTTGCCATATGACTGTGAAGATGTAGAGACTGGTCTTCTTCTTCAGAAGTTGGAGACGTGGGTTTTCGACGGCATCCAGGGTGTAGTTGTTCAAGATCAGTATCAAGAGCCAGTGGTCGATGATAACTTTGATGTGTTGTAGGCCCTGCAAAAGGATGTGGCATTTCTTCAGGGCCCACACCGCTGTCAGGAGCTCTAACCCCACCATTGCGTAGCGTGACTCGGTGTCAGAGAGAAACCTGGACCCACATTGGACTAGGCGCCAGCGATCACCGTGCTGTTGTAACAGGGCGGATCCGAGCCCTTTCAGACGGGCAGCGTCGGTCTGAAGAACCTTCGGAAGATGCGGATCGTAATATGCCAGCACAGGCGGTGATGCCAGAGCCTTCTTGACGTCGCTGAAGGATGTCTGGTGGTTCGGTGTCCACACGAAAGCGTTGCGCAAAGTTTCAGTAAACCACGAAGTGCGTCTGCAGCGGCTGATATCTCGGTGGAGAAGTCCCCGAACCGTTGGACAAGGTCCATGAAAGACCTCAGCTCGGTAATGTTGGTTGGCGTTGGGAAGTTGGTGATGGCTGTGACCTTGCCCGGGTCGATCTCCTTCCCGACTGCAGACAGGCTGAAGCCACAGAAGAAGACTTCTTCCTGTGCGCAGCAGAACCTCTTCTCGTTGATCGTGCTGCCATGTTGGCGGCATTGTGTGAGAACAGCTCGTAGACGGTCTGCGTGGTCTTCTAAGGTCTCATCGCAGACAAGTATGTCGGCGACCACCTTGACGATGTGGTCCAGATCCTGGAGAGCCTGATCTTCACGTCGGTACTCGTCCCCTGTTGAGACCGGGCCCATGGGCGCTCGGAAGAACTTGAAGCGCCCCCAGGGGGTGATGGGCGTTGTGAGGTGTTGGCTGCTTTCTTGAAGAGGGAGCTGCCAGTATCCTCACTCGGCATCCAGCGTGGAGAAGATCTTCGCGTTCACCGGGATACCAGAGACGGCCTCTCTTAGAGTAGAGAGTGGATGCAGAGGCCTTTTTACAAACTTGTTGAGATTGGTGAGGTCAAAGCATATCCGCACTCCTCCATCAGACTTTGTGACCAGCACCAGTGGATGGCACCAATCTGATGGCTCGTCACCCAAGGGGCGATAATGCCCTGTCGAACCATTTCTTCTAGCTGGCTACTCACGTTGTCTCTCCATGCGTACGGCACAGGGCGGGCAGCGCGTACTGCGAAGGGTTTGGCATCTTCTGTGACGTGAATGACCATTGGTGGGCCTGCCATAGGCTTAATAGATACATTGCTGTCATCAGATGTGAAGACGTCGGCGAATTCCTGAGAATGTCATTGCGGAGCTGCTTCCGCTGTCGTTGTTTGTTAGTATTCTTCGCTGGGCGTATTGGCGACACGCAGTGACTGATTGCGCTCCGGGTCTGAAAGTCATCAGCGGGCTGTGGGCAGTGGTCTGGGAAGATGCCGGGCTTATGGGCCATATACCAGGCGAGAAGAAGTGCCCGTGACTCACTGAAGACACAGACTGTGTCTTTGACTGCCCTCTCGTTGAGGCGAATGATGCCCTTGAAGGTGCATGGACTGTCCGTTGGCAGCTGGGATGTCGATGCTTGGCGGCTTGGTCAGGGCACTGTCCTGTACAACCCAGTGTGTGCAGTGTCTGAGGTCATCACTGTGATCTCGACCCCTGAGTCTGGGGTTGCGTTGATGCTGCCGAAGAAACGTCCCGCTGGGATCTTCCAGCTTGATGGTAATCTTGGGGGCCTGTAGACTGTGATGTAGACTGCTGACGAAGACTTGAGGAACAGCTGCCCGGTGTGACGGGTAGCGCTGTCTGCTGCGTGATCGCCGTGATGCGTCAAGCTCAGCCTGTAGTTGCTGGGACGAGAGTCTTCTACGGCAGACAATGGCGAAGTGCCCCCTGACACCACAGGAAAAGCACGCTTGGTCTGCTGCAGGACATGTTCCTCTCAGATGGCTGGACCTGTCACAGCGTCCGCATGGTGGGCCTGAGCACCCTCGCGAAGGACTACGTTGACTTCGATCACGGTGGTTGGAGATGCTGAACACGTTGTGGCTTCTGTTGATGACGTTTTGTAGCACCTCGTTGTTTGCCTGAGCCGTTTCCTCGGAGCGACATATGTCGATGACTTGCTCCAGTGAAGGGAATGGGCGCAGTGTCAAAAGCTTGCACCGGGTCTCTTGGTTGCGAAGTCCTGACATGATGCGGGTAGTGAGACGCTGGTCCATGCATGTACTGCACAGTTCAGCATCAGCGGCCAGCTCTCTCACTGAAACCAAGAAGGCATCGAGGGGCTCGCCCTCTTCCTGTTGCCTCTCTTCAAACTTCACTCGGTCGATGGCGATGCTGCACTGCTGGCGAAGATGATGTTCTATCTTATCCAATGCTGACTGAACCGTGTCAGACTCCTTGTCGATGATAATGACGTGCCGAGATGTTGCACGCATGTCTTCAGTGGAGCAGGAGCGCAGGTAGGCCAGCTGGTCTTCACGACTGAAGGTGGTGAGATAACAAAGCCTGCTGTAGTCGTTCCAAGATGATTTCCACGCTCGGAATTCGCGTAGATTGATGGACACGGAGAGCTTGCTTGGCGGTGTTACTGTGGGCGGTCTTACGGCACCGTAAGGCATCAGTGGTCTCGCTGAGGATACTGTTGTTGCTGGCGGTGCTGCATCCACTGAAGGTGCCGTTGTTGATGGTAGTGGAGCATCCGAGCTCGGTGGTACTAGTGGAACCCTTGGTTCTACAGTAGCGGTACCAGTGGACGTCAGCGGCAGCTTGCACCGGGCATCCCGCCCGGTTGCTTCAAAGGCCGGAGTCTCTACGAGCGTTATCTGCCGGTGTATATCTTGTATCTCCGACCCGAGTAGATTGAGGTCACGCCGGTAATGTTCTTGCTGCTGTTGAAGATCTTGCCGGCGCTGGTGTTCAAGGCCGTCCAGCAACTTAGTCAGTCACGGTGGCACAGTGTCCTCTTCAGTGTCCTCTTCAGTGTTACCCATCTTGCAACTTGATCGAAGATTGCAGGCCGTGCAGAGTAGAAGCATCAAGAGTCTCTCGCAGAAGGTTCAACGGTCGGCTGCGCCATGCGACGTCTTCGTCCAACGGTTCGGCTCAGCTCGGTCAGAGACAAACGTGTAGCGACGCGGCGATCTGTATTGGACCGAGTCCAGTGGCGTCCTGCCCCTGCTATCCCAGGCAGGCACGGCATAACATTTAGTTCGGGTGAACCACCACTCATATGTCAGCTTGCATACACGCACCTATCACGCCTCCCGTACGGTCCGCCACGGGACGGCGGTCAGCGCCCGCGGCAGTAGGTTCCACCGGCCGCATTCCGCCGCGCGGCCGAGACCGCGCCGCGACACGGCAGGGACAGCATGCTGTGCCGCCGGGCCGGCCGGGCGTGCTCACAACACTACCCATGTAACACACTTTAACCTAGATAGCTCCTCTAAGAGGAAATTGCACTGCGTTCATAACGGGTCATTGCCCATAGATGACGTTCAGAAAGTCAAAATGACCAATTCCTTCGAGATTATTTTGCAAGACAATTGGGGGGGGGGAGGGGGAAGCCGGAGCAATTTGACCTCCACCTGGGGGAGTGTTGATGTTTCTAAAACCAATTTGTTTTAGCACTGCTATCACTCAAGAAGTGTGACAAGGGAAATGACCGAGGGCAGACAAATGGTTGCGTTGCATAACCGGCGACACTGTAGCCTCAGTGTTCTATTTCCAAGCAATGGCGCGGGATTCTCCGGTGATTTGCATCTGCTAATGATTCAGCATTCAGCGCCGGAGTTTGGCAAAGTCAGTGATGACTTTAATCGAAAGCTACAGCGAATCGAACGGTTCCCGACTTGGCACGCATTATCTAGAGAAGAGTCTGTCGCCGAAACGACGAAGTTAGCAAAGGACACAGAAGTTGGCTCATTTGAAACCCGTCCGGCATGCAAAATGTCCGTTCAGTTTGCTTTATAAGGATTCTCTTTTACAGCAAGCAGCATTCTGTGCAGGGAACGAGTTCCGTCCATCGCAGCATGCAGTTTCGGAAACCATGCATGCGCCGAGCATTCATGTAGTTCTCACTCTGAAAGCTATGCTGAAGTAAAAGTGCCTGTGATGCTATAGCAAAAGCTGGGATGCCAGGGATGATTTTTAAAAAAAATGCACAAATAACTGTGAATCGCACCCAATGTCAGGGGGCCATCATCACAGCTTGAGAAATTGGTCGGGCAGGCGGCTCCTTAACGTTAGGCGGTGACGTCACAGTCATACTGGCTTGAGCGGCGGCGTTGCATGGCAACGTCGACTGCGTCGCTTGGAAAGCAGTAGTCACGCAGAAATGCTGTGGTCGGTCTTGTCTATTATCGTGCATCGTGGCATCAAGTTTGCATTGTTATGTGGCCTCGATTCGTGCTGTTATGTCGCGGGTGGGAGAAATTCGAAGTGGCGTGCGAGCATTGGGCAGGACTGAGCACCAAAGGCGGTTTTTGGCAGCAAGATGCCATCCTGTGAGGCGGGCCTCTTGCAAGAATGTTGAACGGCACAATGAAGGCACTACAGTTTTTAAATTTCTAAAAAAAACGACCAAACCGTCCTGAGAACCTGAGTGCACCGTTGCTCTTCGACTAACTATAAATATGGAGAATGCGATAATCTGACTTGATCATTTTCAAGATCATGACTGATTCTGGCCATCCGGCTAAGACCAATCCAAAACCAAATGTTAAACCATGCCTTCGACCAAGCGCAGTTCATTCTATGCAACTGTACATCGCCGGCACGCCGAAGTGAGTATGTGTGTGCTTAAAAGGAAAATTACCTTCCGTGTTATGCAGGGATTTTTGAACCTGATTCACAGTCTAATGCATGCACAATCTATGCCGCTCTGTCCAGTTTGTAGACTACAATACGAGATTCAAACGAGACATCCCAACCATAACCTTGTTTACAAAGTGGGGCCTGACTACCACACAAGTGGCACTGCCATCCATGCTACACGGGCGAAGGGGGTGAGTGTCAGGGGCGTAGCCAGGGTTTGCGACGGCGGAGGGCAAGTTGGCACGAGCGAGTCCGAGCCCCATTGACTACACAGCTATGCACTGTGCACTGACTAACAAACCCCACAACCGTTAATAGGCACAGTGCCCAGTGCATCAATGAACTACCAATATTTGTTTGCCCTGTGCCCTGAGCATTGTTCGCCCGCCTATATGCGAGTCTTGTTACAAATGCACCACTTTTAGGCTCTTCGTGTCACTGTCCATGCTAGCGTCTGAGATTTCAAACAAAAGCTGTTTGCCTGGTCACCAAAGTTCGGGGTCACATACAGTAATATCATTGTAAAAAAACTGTCGCTGTGCCTAAGCGACAGACCTAGAAGCTCACGAGCAAAGACTAAGGGGGGGGGGGGGGAGGGAGGCTCGGAGGGCCGCGCTGTTCTCGTGAATTTTTGCGTCGGAAAATAGTAATGGTGGCGCCACCCCTGGGGCAGCCGATGCACTGAAATGGGACTATGAAACGGGGCCATCCAGACAAAGCCATGGCTATGGACAGGAGCGATAGATATCAGAATGGTGCACGCAGCGCAGTACTTGTCGGCCGTTGACTGTCCCTCTTACCCGCTCGGATTATGCCACGCTGGACCACAAAAAGTGGTTGTGTATGAAAACAAGCATGCGATAACCAAAGAAAGGGCATGTCCGGGTCCAACACGTCTTGCTGTTGCAATGAGAAACAACACTGGTGCCTTGTAATAGGGTCTGATTAATGCGCCTGTTAGGTACGTGGAAATAACTGTGCTTCGTTGTGTCGCAGATCTAAGATCCAGCTGTGGTGGAAGTAGCAGGGCATGCAGGCGACGTGGAGGCTGCCTACCAGTAAACAGTCGCGATGCCTCCAATGCCCGCCCTGAACGAATTCAGCGAGGATGATGGGGTGAACGAGTCGGGCGAAGACAAGCTCCATGGCGGTGACGGCGAGAGGACCGAAAATGGCCCCCGCCGCGGCGACGAGATGGACGAGGTCAGCATCCAGCACGGGGCGCTGACCCTCGTTGCCGGCTTCGTGGCGGCCAAGTGCATACACCTCGATCCAAATATGGGACTGTCGACCCGAGAGGTACCACCCAGCTGTGTGCCAGACAGCTGGATATGCGCGTTTAGCCAAGGTGGTCTGATGGTACCGTTGCCGGCCTGGGCGAGCGTCGTCGAGGCTCTCAAGATCGTGCTTCAGCTAGGGATGGGCCGAGGCATGGACCGAGACATTGGTGTCGTCGACTGGCTCACGAAGCTCCTGCTGAGAAAGTTCTGTGCTGGACAGCCGGATTGCTCGGAAGCTGGTGACGACGCGCGTCCGTCTGCGCCTCGGATGGCGGAATTAGGCTGGGGCTGAGCGAGCTGCTGCCAGGCGCGCAGCCAAACAGGTACAACATCAGGCGGACAGCGTTAAGGGAATATCGTTGTGCTTATGTGAGCATACGTAAGTGACTTTAAGTGAGCATCGTCATGCCTTCTTTGTCTTCCATGCCTGTGTGTCTGTCTGAGGCATAGACGGTTCCTTCGCAGATAAACGCTTGGGTTGTTTCGGACTCGTTGTCATGTCGCATAACCTAGCTTTAAGTTTAAAAAATATATACTCGTGTTCTCCGCCCCTCCCCCTTCCCATCCTGTTTGTTTTGTGTCCTCGCCAAGTGTGTACAATGAAGTGTATGCTGGGCGCAAGAATCGTTTTAGTAGAATACGGTGAACTATGAAACATACGTGTGTTCGACGAACTGGCTGCATGGCGTGACAAATATTTTCTTGATTAACGCCACGCGCCACGACCTCCGGAGGCTTTGTCATAGTTGATGCAATGTGCAATGTCCACAACGTCCTATGTTCTACCAGGCAGCACGCCACTTCCGTCGTCTCAAATTGCCTCCATCACACACCAGTGCAACCCGGCGCGTCATGATGTATAGTGCTGAGGTTCAGCGCGACAGTTCGGATGATGATTTTGGTGCCGGTCAGTTCCCCCTTTGGCAGTGGCTGGATCTTGGGCAGGCTCGCCAGCCTGCATTTAAGCAGCTGTAGGCTAGCCAACTTCAGTACATCGCCATAGACTCAATGTTTGGCATCCTCAGCAAGTGGGAGTGCCATGGCACACAGGCTCCCGGTTCCTATGTCTATGTTCGCTGTTATACACCCAGCGTGGCAAAAAGCCCGCTTTCATATTTCCTCACAATACTTCTTGAAGCGCCCTGTGGCGATCACCAGATGCATTTGTTAGTAGGTGCACGGGTGTAGCAAACGCGAACATAATGCAGGCGATGCCAGGCTACGACTTTGTGACGTCACTGTAATAGTGAAGGGAAAGCGTCGGAAAAATCCCCAGATGATCATACTTTATTACATGGCCTTGCCCAATGTTAAGGTTTACAAATGTACGCAAGGTTATTCAGGCATGTCCGTAGTGTTGCACAAATATTGCAAATATTACAGAAATCATTGAGCATTGCAATGCCGTTAGAAGATTAGCCTCGGTACTTTCACACATAACAATCACACAGTTGCTGTCCTTAGCTTAACTTATTAGTCACAACCAACGCGGAATACCAGTGAAACCCACAGCTATGCTATGGGAGGTTCGACTCACGAAACGCCACCAGACGAAGAGCTTTTGACGGAGGCAAGGCGTTGTCGTACTTCATTTGATGGTGCATTCTGGCACGCGGATGGATTATAAGCTCCCTTACGGAAAATTTGGCATCAGAATTATGTTCAGAAACCGTGCACAGCTTAGGGGTATACATCATCAGGACTTCTGCTTGCAAGGCTTTATTTAACAATTGTCGCGCCTTCTCGAAATAGCTCTCTATGATCTGTCGAAATTCATTGACACGTACTTTTGGGAAACCTAGGATAGAAAGCCCAAA